AGCACCCGTGACCCATCATTTCTGCCACGCACTGCAAGTCCTTGAGAGGCACGATAATTCCAGAGCGAGTACGATAACGACTGGATAACCACGATTCCTCTTGGAACACTTCGATAATTCCCCGGAGAAGCAAAATGCTCTCCGAAAAGCTCTGTGCGTGGTTGAATAGACCGATAATAGATAAGCAACTTTAATAGTTGCTGATCTCGCTAAATCACTGTACGTTTCAACAATGCCTAGAGTCGTACGATGGTTATTGTATAGACGCAATAGTTACCAGATAGAGAAGAAAATGACTAGTTAGATACAGTGAGGACATGAACGTTACACAACATACAAACCTACTGTAATGGCAGGATGGTACGAACAACAATGAAACCATTAACCACCAAACACAAAAAATATACCCAAGGGCACTTCGATGATTGCAAGGAAACGACTGGTGGAGGAGAAAAAAAACGAAAATTAAATGATAAGGGAAGCGGAGGATGAGACAATAGTGTCTGGCAATGCACGATGACGAATCCAGCGGTATGATAATTACCGCAAGGCCGCGATAATGGCTCTAAACAGCCCCCTTAGGACAGACTAAACGATCACAACAATACGTCTTCGTGCATAGACAAATTCCGGCTGAGAAGTCTCCAGATATACGACCATGGTATACCACCACGTTTATAAGGATATATAAACCATTATAATGTCGAGCGTCGCCGTAATGGTGATGATAATAGTTATAGAAATACTTTAATTCTGACATATAATGTGTAGATATATAGTTACATAGACAGAGGCGTCACAGTTATACAGAAGCGTGCGTGAAAATAATTTAACTTGAGGTTATCTTGAGATGATTTCGGGGCTTTTTCAGTGTCCCCGCGGCCCGGTCCTCGACCAGGCCTCCACCCCCAGGAAGCAACCCGTGACAGCTGACTAACACCCAGGTACTTATTTTACTGCTAGGTAACAGGGGCATAGGGTGAAAGAAACTCTGCCCATTGTTTCTCGACGGCGCCTGGGATAGAACCCAGGACCACAGGATCATAAGTCCCGCGTGCTGTCCGCTCGGCCGACCGACTCCGAAGCCGGTCGGCCGAGCGATTGATTGATTACCTGATTGTCTCGCACGTGTGGAACTCTTCTCCTCGCAGTCTGAGTGTCGTCACGTCAATACACGTGTCAACAAACATTCAGTCAATCACAACACTTACAAACCAACACTGATCACATCCAACAATCAGCCCACAGTAACACAAAGGCAGATATAGAACAGGTGTGTGTGGCCAGGTCGGACAAGCAAACGAGGCCCGATTAGGATGTTTAAAAAGACGCCGAAATAGGTGTAAAAAAGAGGTGTAATCGGGGGGTAATTACAGGAGGTTAGAGATTACCTATTACAAACTACCTTAAGGCAATGAGAGAGGTGTATTTTCGGGGGGTTTTAAGAACAATACGGCGTCTCACCTATGAGGGTTTACGGGCTATTCATGCCCGTGCCACCTCTTGGGTGGCTAAATCTTCATCAATCATCAATCACCTATGAGGCAAAGCCTCCCTCCCTTTCTCCTCCTTCCCCTTCAAGATGAAGGGGAGAATAGTACGGAAGGAATGGGGGGAAGGGAGCCGGTCGGCCGAGCGGACAGCACGCTGGACTTGTGATCCTGTGGTCCTGGGTTCGATCCCAGGCGCCGGCGAGAAACAATGGGCAGAGTTTCTTTCACCCTATGCCCCTGTTACCTAGCAGTAAAATAGGTACCTGGGTGTTAGTCAGCTGTCACGGGCTGCTTCCTGGGGGTGGAGGCCTGGTCGAGGACCGGGCCGCGGGGACACTAAAAAGCCCCGAAATCATCTCAAGATAACCTCAAGAAGAAGGGCATGTGCTAATTAGGTAGTTGGTGATGATAATTACCAGCTCAGGTACTTAACGCTGACTGCTTGTCTTGTGCCCACCGTTTCCGGGTCCTCCGGCAGAGGTCGCAGTAGAGACCCCGCCCTAGCTGCGCTTTTTTTTTTTAATCAATTGCATCATATTGTATTCCTTGTTTAATTCTCTGGTGTTCATTTTTTTAGCATTTTAAGTTTGTATTTGTTTGTTTTTTTGCGTTAACTTTCCCGTTTTCTTCTAATGTGATATCATTAAAGCTATGACAATTTTGATCTAAAAATATTGAGTATTATAAAATATATATAATAATAATAATTCTATTATTATTATTATTATTATTATAAATAATAATAATAATGCAAATAATAAAAATGCTAATAATACTATGCAATATACATCCATATTATTGTGTAAATAATTCCAGGGCCCTTGACAGCTGCAGAAATATAGTAGGTCAGGGAGAGCGTCAGAGGAGCAGGTCAGGTCAGGGAGCAGGTCAGGTCAGGGAGAGAGTCAGAGGAGCAGATCAAGTCAGGGAGCAGGTCAGGTCAGGAAGCAGGTCAGGTCAGGAAGCAGGTCAGGTCAGGAAGCAGGTCAGGTCAGGAAGCAGGTCAGGTCAAGGAGCAGGTCAGGGAGAGAGTCAGAGGAGCAGGTCAAGTCAGGAAGCAGGTCAGGTCAAGGAGCAGGTCAGGGAGAGAGTCAGAGGAGCAGGTCAAGTCAGGAAGCAGGTCAGGTCAAGGAGCAGGTCAGGGAGAGAGTCAGAGGAGCAGGTCAAGTCAGGGAGCAGGTCAGGTCAAGGAGCAGGTCAGGTCAGGGAGAGAGTCAGAGGAGCAGGTCAAGTCAGGGAGCAGGTCAGGTCAGGGAGTAGGTCAGGTCAGGGAGCCAGGAAGCAGGTCAGATAAGGAAGCCAGGAAGCAGGTCAGGTCAGGGAGCAGGTCAGGTCAGGGGGCCATGAAGCAGGTCAGGTCAGGGGAGGGTGGAGTGTCTTCACTCCAACAAACCTCTCCTTTCCCTCCCCCCACCAGACAATTGTTTATGTCTCAAGTGTGTCAATTTCTCATTATGGAACAGCTTTAGTGATGTCATCCTTTCCTGTTATTTCTCGCCGTCTCGTTTCTTCTCCTTAATTCCTTGTCACTTCTCTCCCTTTCTCTCTACCCGTTTTTCTTCCTCTTCCTCTTAATGCTTCTACTCTGCCTAACTTATCTACGCTTCCAGGAGAACATAGATACTATGATAATAAAACTATAAGAACCAGTAGGCCACCGGGAGGGAATAGTTTAGAAGGATAGGGTGTAAGACATGTGGAAGGGGAAGGAAGCCTTGTGGAAGAGGGGGAGAAAGCATGTGAAAGGGGGGAAAGGAAATCGGGAGAAGGGAGGACAACGAATTGAAAGAGGAAGGAGGGTAAAGTGATGAGCGGGAAATTAAAAGAAATATATTAAGGGGGAGACTTAGAAAGAATAGAAGGTAAAGGAGCATGAATAGACAATAATGAAATTAAATTTGAAGCAGGAACAGATGCAGAAGGAATAGAAACAGGAGCAGACATAGAAGGAATAGAAGGAGGAGCAGACATAGGAAGAAGAGCAGACACAGAAGGAACAGAAGCAGGAGCAGACATAGAAGGAACAGAAGCAGGAGCCGATATAGAAGGAACAGAAGCAGGAGGAGACACAAAAGGAAGAGAAGCAGGAGCCGAGACAGAAGGAACAGAAGCAGGAGGAGACACAGAAGGAAGAGAAGGAGGAGGAGGAGCAGCATTAGATGCAGGGATCAAAGAGAGAGCCCATATTACTGTGGGTATTCAATGCCTTCAAGATCCTCTACTAGCAATAAGGAATAAATAGTTGGAAAGTCAAGGAACTACGACACTAATGACGGAACAGAAAAAAGAGAAGAGGGCGGAATAGATGGGAAAGGAATGTAGAGGAAGAGAGGAATGGAAAAACAACAGATAGAAGAAGAGAGGACTGAAAAAGTGGAAAAGAAAAGAGAGAAACCATTACCTCGGCGGAAAGACAGACATAGACGCAGATAAAAACAAAATTTAATTTTAAGTTTATTATGAAGATTTAAGCGAAACTTTTATACATTTCTTGTCCTTTTGTACTCGGGAAAGAAGTTGACAAATGTCTCCGAACTTCCCTTTACAATTGTTTAACTTATTGGACCTTACGCAATGTCGCTAATTATCTCTGGTAATGGTTTAGTTGTGTGTATAAATGATGTGATCCTTGATAGAGCCTTGTTTGTATATTATTAGGCACCTATAAGGAGATGTTGTCGTCTTGCCTATATATTGAAATCGTTTAGATATTGTAAACATACCCATTAAGAGTTAATAGGTATATTTTCAATCCAAGATTTTTTTTTAAATATTAAGATTCCTTAGTGCCTTGGCTGCTTGTTCAAGTGCAATTTTGTGTTTGACTGTTTCCTTGGTGCTTGCTCAAGTGCTTCTTTAAGTTGTCACGAAGTGTGCTTGTATGTTAACCTTGAGTCTTTACAAGGACTCTTTTTTTATCTTTATATCCTCTCTGTTCCTGAGTGTATTTATTGTCCCTGTTAAGAATGTGTTGTAGAAAGATTATCATAACTGCAGACTTGCCTAATTGATCATTTTTACGATACGTTTAATTAGCTAAATATTTGACAACATTAATTACTTTTTTTTCGGGTATTTTTTTTATTTTTATAGTCTTGATTTAACTTTACAATGTCCTGTTTACTGTCTTTCTTCTTGTTTTGTTTTCCTATTGATTTATTTGGTATAAGATTCTTCTTTTTGTTTTCCTTTCCGAGCTATCGCTAATGTCGTTAACATTCCTCCCCCCCCCCTCTCTCTCTCTCTCTCTCTCTCTCTCTCTCTCTCTCTCTCTCTCTCTCTCTCTCTCTCTCTCTCTCTCTCTCTCTCTCTCTCTCTCTCTCTCTCTCTCTCTCTCTTCTACATGTCTTTCTCTCCCTCCTCCATTATCAGCAGTTCACCCTATCTCCGATGTAATCGCACTGGCTGTTCCTCTTCCTCAGCATCTTCTACTTGTCTGTCTCCCACCTCCACTCTTCCCATCTCTGAGCACGTGATGCGTAACTAAGACAGCGTCCCTTGTCACAGCGGAGACGAAGCCTTCACCTGCCTGGTCATGCAAGAGAGGAGCTCAAACGTCATGGAGTTCCAGATCAGTAAGTCTCTGTGAGCACTTCTGTTGGCCTTCTCCCAAGTTACAGCCCCGCTCCTGTGGCGGGTTAGTCCGCTACGGGCTCACCATAGCCCGTGTTACTTGCCCCGCTCCTGTGGCGGGTAAGTCCACTACGGGCTCACCATAGCCCCTGCTACGTGTCCCGCTCCTGTGGCGAGTTAGTCCACTACGGGCTCACCATAGCCCGTGCTAAGTGTCCCGCTCCTGTGCCGGGTAAGTTCACTACGGGTTAACCATAGCCCGTGTTACTTGCCCCGTTCCTGTGCCGGGTAAGTCCACTACGGGCTCACCATAGCCCGTGCTAAGTGTCCCGCTCCTGTGCCGGGTAAGTCCACTACGGGTTCACCATAGCCCGTGCTACTTGGAACGTTTTGTTCCCAGTAGCTGCTGAAACTAAAACAACAACACCAGCCTTTTCCCATGTTCTCCATATTAGACGACTTAGTTGGATTGGACAGGTCAATATTGAGATGAACTTGTAAATGACAAAATTATGTACATGACCAAAGTGTAATCAAGGACGGAGGAGCATTAAAAGCTTGTAACATAGAGAGTTCTGTATGATTTGTAGCAGATATGTAGCCACGTATCTGAACACATATATATCGGGTCCTTTCTATCTAGTGATATGTAACTGGCCGGGGAGTAGAACCATTCGTATAGCGCGCGATCCATTTCATAAAGAGTTACTGCGCACAACTCAATAAATACCTCCTTAGAAAACAAAAGAACGTTGAATATTATCACTTTACGGAATCTCGAGATGCGCCACGTGTATAGAACTGGCTCTACTCTTCTACCTACTACGTAGCTATGGGGGAAAAGATGATGGAGACTCCTTGTAAAAGTTACATGCTGGGGGCACATACCAGAAGTTTGTTGTTGTTTTAGATTCAACTACTCGGAACAAAACGTTCCCAGTAGCACGGGCTATGGTGAGCCCGTAGTGCCGGTAGCACGGGCTATGGTGAGCCCGTAGTGCCGGTAGCACGGGCTATGGTGAGCCCGTAGTGCCGGTAGCACGGGCTATGGTAAGCCCGTAGTGCCGGTAGCACGGGCTATGGTGAGCCCGTAGTACCAGTAGCACGGGCTATGGTGAGCCCGTAGTGCCGGTAGCACGGGCTATGGTGAGCCCGTAGTGCCGGTAGCACGGGCTATGGTGAGCCCGTAGTGCCGGTAGCACGGGCTATGGTGAGCCCGTAGTGCCGGTAGCACGGGCTATGGCGAGCCCGTAGTGCCGGTAGCACGGGCTATGGCGAGCCCGTAATGCCGGTAGCACGGGCTATGGCGAGCCCGTAGTGCCGGTAGCACGGGCTATGGCGAGCCCGTAGTGCCGGTAGCACGGGCTATGGCGAGCCCGTAATGCCGGTAGCACGGGCTATGGTGAGCCCGTAGTGCCGGTAGCACGGGCTATGGCGAGCCCGTAGTGCCGGTAGCACGGGCTATGGTGAGCCCGTAGTGCCGGTAGCACGGGCTATGGCGAGCCCGTAGGTGTTTTAGATATTGTGCTTCACACTAACGATCAATCAATCGTGTCCAGTACCTGGAAACACTCCCACATAACTCCCAGGAGTGTCGTCCAAGATGCTACAGTGATGGAGATCGTGTATAGTGAAGCTGTGATCTCTCTGCTACACTCGGGTATCTCTTTTGCTGTATTTTATAATTACAAATTATCACATACTTTTTAAGTGAGTTTCTACCTAATTTTTTTTAAAGGTATTAACTTGTGTTTTTATTGTATTTTCTTAAATAAAACACAAGTTTGTTTTATTTTTTATTTCTTGATAATGATTTATAATTATTTTTAATTGGTGGTGCTGCTGTTGTTGCAGAAAATATTATCTATTTTAATATAATTATTACAAGCTCATGTTCATAAATTTTTTAATTTCAGTCGTTTTCATAGTCAGGATTTGTACCTTTCCTGTGTCTGTTACTAACACTAATGCTCACTGTTAAGTTGTGGTTACTGCTACTGTTGTCAGTACTACAACTACCTCAGTTACTATCATTACTACTACTATTAATACCACTACTCATCATTGACACTATTCCTGCAACAACTATCACTCATTATCACTCATCCCAGTACCAGCATCACTAGGGGGTCATGATGACTATCTGCGGTGCTGTCATCTCTACCATCTTGAGGTTATCTTGAGATGATTTCGGGGCTTTAGTGTCCCCGCGGCCCGGTCCTCGACCAGGCCTCCACCCCCAGGAAGCAGCCCAGGTACTTATTTTACTGCTAGGTAAGAGGGGCATAGGGTGAAAGAAACTCTGCCCATTATCTCTCGCCGGCGCCTGGGATCGAACCCAGGACCACAGGATCACAAGACCAGCGTGCTGTCCATTCGGCCGACCGGCTCCCTATCCATCACCATCACTTATACTACTATTTCTGCCCCCGCCAACTATCACAATTACTCCCCCACCACCACCACCACCCCCACCACGACTACTACTCCCACATCACCACCACCACCACTACTACTACTACTACTCCCACATCACCACCATCACCACTACTACTACTACTACTCCCACATCACCACCACCACCACCACTACTACTACTACTACTCCCACATCACCACCACCACCACTACTACTACTACTACTACTCCCACATCACCACCATCACCACTACTACTACTACTACTACTCCCACATCACCACCATCACCACCACTACTACTACTACTCCCACATCACCACCACCACCCCCACCACGACTACTACTCCCACATCACCATCACCACCACTACTACTACTACTACTCCCACATCACCACCATCACTACTACTACTACTACTCCCACATCACCACCATCACCACCACTACTACTACTACTACTCCCACATCACCACCATCACTACTACTACTACTACTAGTACTCCCACATCACCACCATCACCACCACTACTACTACTACTACTCCCACATCACCACCACCACCACTACTACTACTACTACTACTCCCACATCACCACCACCACTACTACTACTACTACTCCCACATCACCACCATCACCACCACTACTACTACTACTACTCCCACATCATCACCATCACCACTACCACTACTACTACTACTCCCACATCACCACTACCTTCTCCACAGGTCCGGACGTGGATGCCAGATACAAGGAGGGACTCTGTTCTTCCCCAGCTTCACTCACCTGGGACTCATGGGTCACCCAAGGACGTGAGTTAACCTCCGTCCCTTTAGATTCTAAATGGTGATATATTGGTCTGTTTTTGTGTGTGATTTTGTGTGTATTTTTGCCTATTTGTATGTGGGTTTTTTTCGGGATTTTTTGGGGGGCTTAAGAAGGGCCGCAGGTCTTGGCTTCCGGCATTGCAATATTAAATTGGCTGGTGAATATATTACTCTGGTACTAAACAGGTATTGTTTGCATTGAGGCCAACCTTGATTACGCAAGTGATGATATCCGCTTGATGCGTGTGCTTTGTGAGATAGGTTTGCTGTGATTCATCATCCTCCCGGGGGAAGGGAAGGTTTCATCACCCCCTTCCCTTTCTAGCTTGGGAAATGTCTCCTCTATTTCTGTTGCTTATTGATGAAGTGGGCCTCAGAAGACAGGTTCAGGGTGATATCATCTTCCAGGTTTTCTCTACCCGATTAATATAGGATTTTGTTTCTCATTTGGTACCTTGTGTTTGACTTTCTGTTCACTACGACTAGTTTCATTACTTTGCAATTACTTGAGTTAAACTTCATTAGGTATTTGTGGGATCATTTTTTCCGTTTGTTATCATCTTGTAGTCTTTTTGCTATCTTTCTCTGTCTTAATCCTGCTCATAATTTTTGCTATCAGTAAACATTCAGACTTATATGTATATTCCATCTTAAAGATTTTTTACATATGTCAGGATGATGATTGGTCAGAGTTCAAGTATGTTTATTGAGACAAGAAAATACTTCTCAAAGGGATAGAGTTGCTTAGGCTATTTCTACCCTCCTTGGTCAGAGTGACTGACCCATGTGGAGATCCTTGGTCAGAGCGACTGACCCGTGTGGAGATCAATGCTCAGAGCGACTGACCCTGTTGGAGATCCTTGGTCAGAGTGACTGACCCGTATGGAGATCCGCTGGGGGGACATCTCTCCACTCTCAGATCCCACTCCACAACAGTGACACGATGGCTTCCGTTGATTTGCTGCTCCCTTACCCCCCTCTGAGCACTTTCCCTGTCACTCCTACCTGCTTCTCCAGTGTGTACACTTGCCTCTTTTGGGCCTGTACTCACTGAATTTGTGCGCCCCTTGAGGGACTTGAAGTAGAGGGGGGTAGAAATAGCCTAAGCTACTCTATCCCTTTGAGATGTATTTTTTTCTTGTCTCAATAAACATACTTGAACTTGAACTTGAACTTGCCTCTTATCAGGTGTTTCTCCAACATGTACACTTGCCTCTTATCGGGTATTAAGTAAAAGCCATCCTGTCACTCCAAAACTATGCACTCTGCCTTAAAACTAATACTCATTGGTTAGTAGTGCAGACAGACTAAATGCCCATATGGTTTGGCTTACATTATTTCTGTCGCCTGGTCAGAGAATTGTATTAAATTTGCGAGGCAAGATTTACCATTCATGTACCCGTGGTTGCGGGGCTACGGAAAGTCCCCCTACTCCCCAAATGTTTCTACTCCCAGTAGGCTCAGATTCCTGAGCCTACTGGGCTGTATTAAATCTACATTTGAAACTGTGTATGGAGTACAATACACTGTACAGTTCTTGAACTACTTTATTACGGGACAAATTGCTTCACTGTTAGGTCATTAAGCAGTTAGCCGTTAAATTGTGCAGTAATTAGCCAGTTTTATTATGCCAAATTGCATAAGATTTTAATAAGGTGTTGCACCACAACCACTTTCTCCGACTCTGTTCTTTTCAACAGAGAGCAATTGAAATTCAACAATGCAACAGGATTCGAAGGGCTTTAACATCCTTCTGTTATCTTGAAGAACGAGAACACTGGGTTGTATATATACACTTCCGCTACAGTTCCAGGGAGTCATTTACTACAGTTCAAGGGGTCATTTACTACAGTTCAAGGAGGTCATTTACGACAGTTCAAGGAGGTCATTTACTTCAGTTCAAGGAGGTCATTTACTTCAGTTCAAGGGGTCATTTACTACAGTTCAAGGGGTCATTTACTTCAGTTCAAGAAGGTCATTTACTACAGTTCAAGGAGGTCATTTACTACAGTTCAAGGAGGTCATTTACGACAGTTCAAGGAGGTCATTTACGACAGTTCAAGGAGGTCATTTACGACAGTTCAAGGAGGTCATTTACTACAGTTCAAGGGGTCATTTACGACAGTTCAAGGAGGTCATTTACGACAGTTCAAGGAGGTCATTTACGACAGTTCAAGGAGGTCATTTACGACAGTTCAAGGGGTCATTTACTTCAGTTCAAGAAGGTCATTTACTACAGTTCAAGGAGGTCATTTACTACAGTTCAAGGAGGTCATTTACGACAGTTCAAGGAGGTCATTTACTACAGTTCAAGGAGGTCATTTACGACAGTTCAAGGAGGTCATTTACTTCAGTTCAAGGAGGTCATTTACTTCAGTTCAAGGGGTCATTTACTACAGTTCAAGGGGTCATTTACTTCAGTTCAAGGAGGTCATTTACGACAGTTCAAGGAGGTCATTTACTTCAGTTCAAGGAGGTCATTTACTTCAGTTCAAGGGGTCATTTACTACAGTTCAAGGAGGTCATTTACTTCAGTTCAAGGGGTCATTTACTACAGTTCAAGGGGTCATTTACTTCAGTTCAAGGAGGTCATTTACTACAGTTCAAGGAGGTCATTTACTACAGTTCAAGGAGGTCATTTACGACAGTTCAAGGGGTCATTTACTACAGTTCAAGGGGTCATTTACTTCAGTTCAAGGAGGTCATTTACTTCAGTTCAAGGGGTCATTTACTACAGTTCAAGGGGTCATTTACTTCAGTTCAAGAAGGTCATTTACTACAGTTCAAGGAGGTCATTTACTACAGTTCAAGGAGGTCATTTACGACAGTTCAAGGAGGTCATTTACAACAGTTCAAGAAGGTCATTTACGACAGTTCAAGGAGGTCATTTACTTCAGTTCAAGGAGGTCATTTACTACAGTTCAAGGAGGTCATTTACGACAGTTCAAGGGGTCATTTACTACAGTTCAAGGAGGTCATTTACGACAGTTCAAGGGGTCATTTACTTCAGTTCAAGAAGGTCATTTACTACAGTTCAAGGAGGTCATTTACTACAGTTCAAGGAGGTCATTTACGACAGTTCAAGGGGTCATTTACTACAGTTCAAGGGGTCATTTACTTCAGTTCAAGGAGGTCATTTACGACAGTTCAAGGAGGTCATTTACGACAGTTCAAGGAGGTCATTTACGACAGTTCAAGGAGGTCATTTACGACAGTTCAAGGAGGTCATTTACGACAGTTCAAGGAGGTCATTTACTTCAGTTCAAGGAGGTCATTTACTACAGTTCAAGGAGGTCATTTACTTCAGTTCAAGGGGTCATTTACTACAGTTCAAGGAGGTCATTTACTTCAGTTCAAGGAGGTCATTTACTACAGTTCAAGGAGGTCATTTACTACAGTTCAAGGGGTCATTTACTACAGTTCAAGGAGGTCATTTACTTCAGTTCAAGGAGGTCATTTACTACAGTTCAAGGAGGTCATTTACTACAGTTCAAGGGGTCATTTACTACAGTTCAAGGAGGTCATTTACTTCAGTTCAAGGAGGTCATTTACTACAGTTCAAGGAGGTCATTTACTACAGTTCAAGGGGTCATTTACTTCAGTTCAAGGAGGTCATTTACTTCAGTTCAAGGGGTCATTTACTACAGTTCAAGGAGGTCATTTACTACAGTTCAAGGGGTCATTTACTTCAGTTCAAGGAGGTCATTTACTTCAGTTCAAGGAGGTCATTTACAACAGTTCAAGAAGGTCATTTACGACAGTTCAAGGAGGTCATTTACGACAGTTCAAGGAGGTCATTTACTTCAGTTCAAGGAGGTCATTTACTACAGTTCAAGGAGGTCATTTACTACAGTTCAAGGGGTCATTTACTTCAGTTCAAGGAGGTCATTTACAACAGTTCAAGAAGGTCATTTACGACAGTTCAAGGAGGTCATTTACTTCAGTTCAAGGAGGTCATTTACTTCAGTTCAAGGAGGTCATTTACTACAGTTCAAGGAGGTCATTTACTTCAGTTCAAGGGGTCATTTACTACAGTTCAAGGGGTCATTTACTTCAGTTCAAGGGGTCATTTACTACAGTTCAAGGAGGTCATTTACTTCAGTTCAAGGGGTCATTTACTACAGTTCAAGGAGGTCATTTACTTCAGTTCAAGGGGTCATTTACTACAGTTCAAGGAGGTCATTTACTTCAGTTCAAGGGGTCATTTACTTCAGTTCAAGAAGGTCATTTACTTCAGTTCAAGGGGTCATTTACTTCAGTTCAAGAAGGTCATTTACTTCAGTTCAAGGTCATTTACTTCAGTTCAAGGAGGTCATTTACTTCAGTTCAAGGAGGTCATTTACTACAGTTCAAGGAGGTCATTTACTTCAGTTCAAGGGGTCATTTACTTCAGTTCAAGGAGGTCATTTACTTCAGTTCAAGGAGGTCATTTACTGCAGTTCAAGAGGTCATTTACTACAGTTCAAGGAGGTCATTTACTTCAGTTCAAGGAGGTCATTTACTTCAGTTCAAGGAGGTCATTTACTACAGTTCAAGAGGTCATTTACTACAGTTCAAGGAGGTCATTTACTACAGTTCAAGAGGTCATTTACTACAGTTCAAGGAGGTCATTTACTTCAGTTCAAGGAGGTCATTTACTACAGTTCAAGAGGTCATTTACTACAGTTCAAGGAGGTCATTTACTACAGTTCAAAGGGTCATTTACTACAGTTCAAGAGATCATTTACTACAGTTCAAGGGGGTCATTTACTACAGTTCAAAGGGTCATTTACTACAGTTCAAGAGATCATTTACTACAGTTCAAGGGGGAGTCATTTACTAGCAAAATCCATATGTAGAATCTTCCTCTGATTATCAGATATAAAATATATCTTTTGGCTTGTTATTTAATGCATTTGTACCTATAAAATATTAAGAAAACATCGTACAATATTTATACGACATGACTCTCTCCCATTTATAAGTCATGTCACATTTTTTGAAGG